CCCCCCCCCAAATTATCGTAATACAGAAGCCAGTAACAAGACCGGCTGCCTACCTGACCCTCAAAATATTCAATTCAAGCCACTCTCTGGAGCAATGTGATAATGGAGATAACCTCTGAAACAAGTACCCAGTATCCCCCCGTCTTCATCTATATCACTCAGCCTTGCCATGAGGTTTGCCTACTATGAGCAGCAACTCTGATCTTTATACTACAATGGCTAAATGACATTGCAGCCAGGGTGAATAGCTTCTAACAAGCTTTTGACCTACATATCCTCCATGGTTCTCGAGGGGTTAAAATTTCAGCAGAACCTGGGCACATTAACACTCTAGCAGTCTGCCCTGTGATGTCAACAAGGCATTTGGAAGTAATTGATGCAGCCAATTATTAACTGCCCTTCAGAAAAAGCAACCCCTTCTAGAAATCCATCGAAATGCCCACAGATGGAGCAGCTGCAAGACATTCATGACTTTCCTGTCTCAACTCTAAATTGTCAGATCTAAAAATTTTTCACTACTTACCCAGCCTAACAGAAATTAAGCACATACTTCTAACTTTCAACCAGCCAGTTCTCCCTTCCAGACTTAAACAAATGAACAGATTATTATGGCAGACTCATCACATTCAAGGAGTCTTTAAGGATGAGTTAATTCTTGTCACCAGAAGAATGACAAATGATCACAATCTTGCAGATAAGAGCCATAAAAGTTCTTGTTGAGCCAAGTGGACCCCTCATCAGCTAAATCAAATGATAAATGAGGTTTTGGAGTCAGGTCACCTTCAAAGCCTTCAATTTGCCCTGTCATCAGTTGTCCCCTGATGCACTCCTGGAGAATAACTACACCCTTGCCAAAGAGCAGCAACACCACCTAACCCGCAATAATAGTGCACCCTTTGGGCAATACCACCACAATTTAAAGGACTGTGTTAACGCTACAAAAGCTCTTGCTACCGCTTCCCAGGCTTATGTATCCAGTATTGTACAGCTGCACTGAATTTCTTCCAGCAGAAGAGATATCATAAACAATGTTGGTGTGCAAGAAAAGGGTAGCCATGAAAGACAAGTGAATGCAGTTCATTCAGGCAGTAAAATCTAATGACTCAGTCTCATTTGGGCATATCACATCAAGCTCTCATAGCAATGGATCATTATATACTACTTCCCCAGGAGCCGGGAAACATATTTTCATGAAATCTATGTGAACAGTTCTGTAGGAATAGGAAGCCCTAGGCAAGCTATAAAACTGTTGCCAACATGGACACCCATGACAATGTCAGAGATCAATAGCCTTGTTGCCCAACTGAGACTGGGGAAGATTAATCCCTATACAGGCCATTAAAAGCAATATGGTCTTCTGGGCCTCTACTCTGGCTTCACTCTTTATCTGTATTGACCCCTTTGGCTGAGTCCTCAAGGATTTGAGGCTTGCAATAATTGTTCCTATATGTAAAAAAGGAGAGAGGATATCCTGTTAATTATAGACCTATTAGCCTTCTCAACACTACCAGAAAGCTGTATGCAAGACATCTACAGTAGAAATTCCAGAACTGGTTGGAACAAGAAAACCTGCTTGTAGAGGTGCAGGTGGATTTTATGAAAGGCCAATCCACCATCAATCAGTGCCTTGTACTCTAGCATCTCATTGAAAATTACTCCTCACACAGCACAACCTCCCTCTATGTTGCTTTCATTGATTTCAAGCAGTGTTTTATTCCATATCCTGAGCTAAATTGTGGGAGAGGTTGGAAGCCTCCTCAGTTGACCAGCATCTGTTTCATTTAATATGTATGCTACATGAAGGCATGTCATTCAGAGTAAGAAGTAATCCCCAGGCCCTCTCACCAATGCTATTAAAACTGAGAAAGGCATTAAGCAAGGCTGCATATTGGCCCCATTCAACTTCTGTATTATGTTGGGCTATCTCAATAACATGGTCTTTCCCTCCCCAGAATTTGCTGGAAAACACATTTCTATTCTATGCAGGCAACACAGCAGTACTTTCAAGAACGGTCTTAAAATAATACTGAAGGCCCTAGCATAGTATTGCAAGGAAGACTGGTTAGAACTCAGTTATCAGAAAAGTAATATAATTGCATGTGCCAAAAGGCCCGAGAATCATTCCTAGAATATAGATGGCCACAAGATTGAGCAGGTAGTCCTTTATTCTGGTAGCAGTAAAAAAAAAAAAAAAACCTCTAAGGGGACTACATTGCTGAAAACATAGAAGAGTTCATCTGTCATAGAAGAGTTCATCTGTCATCATTAAATATCTTAAGATAAGAGGTTGCCACTATACTGTATGCCCACAGCTGTCAAATTATTTGAAGCCAAGAAGTTAGCACACCTTCTTTGTGGTGCTTAGTTGGGTCCCTTTTCCAATTTTGCAGTGCTAGAGTTTGATATAAGGCTGAAAGGCTTTATCCTGCTTATGCTGTTGACTAATTTTTGTCTTGCCAATTCTAATATGTACTACAGATTTTTCAGCTAAATATATTTATATGAACTTGTTGATCAAGTGTTACTCTGGTGTGTTTCACCAGATAGAGATGTTTGGGGGGAAAAGGAGTTCTTTATTCTATGAAATATATAATTAGAAATCTTGACATTTTATTTTCCAAGGCTTGGTTTTCTGTTACAGGTATATATTTTATGGAAGATAGAGCTTCATTGTCCCCGCTGGATATAAGATTTAACCTGTATAACTTTCTTAATGCTTATTCTAATCCTTGCTGTTGTGAAATGATTTGCATAATGTAATATAATAATTGTTTGATTAAAGGTTCGATATTTTTGGACTTGCTCCAGATTCACAGGAAGATGAAGCTGGGATCAAGCAAGCATCAGAGAATGGTATGTTTATGTTTTATTTGATGAAGTAGATAATTATAATTGCTTGGGAATTTACCAATTTCCAGCATAATTATACATCTGTATTTTGTAAAGTTAGTTGTGTTCCATTAATATTATAGAATAGTGCAAATAATCTTCATACCTAAACAATATTGTTGAGTTGTATGTTGAGTGGGCAAGCATACAAATGAATAAACAAATAATAAGTACTTCAGCCAACAGAACTGCATATAGAAATTATGTCTGATATTTCATAATTTCATAAAGAATAGCATTGCTGAGATTCAGTGAAGAGCAAACAATGAGCGTACCATATATGCCCTGAAAAAATCCAGGTGATCAGCAGATGGCAGCAAAATGATACAGAATCATAGAATTGTGGAGTTGGAAGGGAACACAAGGATCATGTAGTCAAACTCATGTACTGCTTCTAAATAAGCTGAGAATTACATTAGCTCTTCTAGCTAATGTAACTATTAGCTCATATTAAGCTTGTTGTCAATGGCTACCCAAGTCCTTCTTTCTTATAGTATTTCCAAGCCATGAATCCCCAGTCTTGTATGTATGTCTTTCAACCTGGCCAAATTAGTTTACAATCTTGTTCTGACATCAGGAATTTCCCAGAACCCATGCAGCCTGCCTTTTAAATACACACAGATGAGTTGTCATTGGCACAAACTTCCAGTGGCAGATTTGTGTCTGACAAAGAAATCACAGCCATTAGATTCAACTCATTAGATTCTATATGGTTGATCTGATAACTAAAATAAAATAGTGGAATTGTACAGTGAGGTTAATTATGCCCTTTCCTAATCTTTTACCATAAATAACTAATTAGAACAAGTATTGCCATAATTTGTAGCATTGTAGTTAAGTTAACTGTATTTCTGATAGACTTAATGATAATTTCTTGTGTCTCCTGTAAATTTTATCAAACGTTTACAGTATCACTTTCGAAAGCAGCTCGCCATAAAGTACTATTTTTAAAAAATAACTTTATTAAATTTTAAAATAGAAGCAGTAAAAACTAACAAAAACTAGTGTTAAAGGAAGAAAATAAGAAAAAGAAAGGAAAATTAGAAAAAAGAATGACCAAGGTCAAAAGTGCCAAAAAAAAAAAAAAAGAAAGAAAAAGAATTGACTTCTGACCCTCCTCACAACAGATATAAATATCAGTATACATCAGTCTCTTGCTCTAAGTTTACAACATAACTTTCATTATTACTATAAACCC